AAGGACAGTACTGAAAGCTTCCCTAATTCTTGTTATGGAAATATTTTCTTAACCTACCTTCTACAGTAACCTCTCTGGCTTTTCATGAGCATAACAGACAAATTCTTTGAAATTCAAACAGTTCTCTATCTTCAGAATGGTATCCCATATATCACTCATGAACTATTATCTTGACTAAAATTGATTTAATTGCAAAATTGTGGAACTTTGTTTGAAATAACGAAGTCTATGGGTTTAAGTTAATAAATAATACACTGCCCCAGATAACGGGGAAATCCCCACAACTACAGAAAAAAAGACAGAGAAAATTTTTATTACATTTTTCATAATTGGCATCACCAATTTGGTGATGGATATAAAGCAGACAGGATATAAAGCAGAAATACAAATCATCAAGGATGAAGACTACTTTATCAAGAATTACATGCACAAAGTGGCCTACCTCTTCACTGCTGTCAGTTCCTTGAAAGTTATCTTCAATTTGGGTTTTCCCATGCACTCCGTTACTATCTTGCTTCAAATCCAAAGGGAAAATGCAACATTCTGGTGACATATTTGAAGACTTCCCATGAGGTGCTGATCGAGGTCTTGATGAAAATGTGAAAATCTCTTTATTATTAACTTGGTGATCACCTGTTTCATTGCTTTGATGTTCAACAGAGGCATTCTGTGGTGAGGTTAAATTACGGCAGGCTGAATCTTCAGTAGCTACAAACTGCTTGCTCCTATCCAACTGAACACTATCAGCGAAACTTTCTGGAAACACCCATTCATCTGAAACATACAATGTTTATTTTAATGCCAAATATGTAAACTGAATGTTACCCTAACCACTCTACTGTTCTCTGGAAGTTGTACAGGAAAATAAGTTTTTCTAATACAGAAACATTCTGCTTATCAGATTTATACAGCTGGAAGAATGATGAGGATGCAACGAAAAAGATCAGGCTGCTTTCTAAGTGAGGCAAGGTTAATCAAAACATTTCCAGACCATCGCTCAAAAAACCCCCAGGCTATGACATCTGACATGCAAGCCTGCAATTTGCAAATGTGAAACTATTTAGCTGTTAAGATTTGAAACTGTTCAACTGAGTTTCGCTGTACGAAAACATAATTTTATGAAATTTAGCTATTGATCTTTTTTCTATAGGCATTTTTTGTGGTTAACATTGAAAAAAAAAAAACCAACCCACACATAGTTGGTAGAAAGTTTGTAACATTACAACATGCTGCTTCTTTATTGCTGAAATTCTACACCTTTTTTTAATGTCCAGAACTTATGGTTTAAGTCTCAATTTCAAACTACAGCTCTGATGAAAAATAGTGTGACATGAAAAATGTATGAAGATATCTGTTTCACCAAGCTTCCCTGAATACAGGCAGTACTAATCTGCCAATTTTAAAACAAACAATAAACTACAGAAATGGATTTAAAGATTGAGTGCACCAGATAAACATGAAAAGGCCATTTTTATACTCTTATTGTTAACTTATATTTTACTGTTTGGAATGACTGTATAGAAAAAAAATGTCAATTTGATTGATTAAAACCAATCTCAAATAGCATCTGAGAAAAGGAGAATTGCCCTAGTATACAATACTCCCTTATCTTCATTAAAGGTAGTGTGGTGTGGATTATTCACTAGATCTTGAAACTTTCTGGCTCCATAAAACAAAGTTACCACCAACCGTATTAAAAAAGCCTCAATAAAAAATAATAAAAACATAATAATAAAGTAGCACTGCAATAATAAAATGCTTGCCGTCACAGAAGACAGTAAGTTTACTACGGTATTCTACTCCTTTTAGTTTTGTTAGTGATAATTGTCACTTCCGGCAGACTCAGCAGCCTCGGGGGGCAGGTCTGAAACACCATATATGAAGGCAAAAGAAAGAAGAATGAGAATGGCAGGAGAAACAGCTGTCGTCTTATTGGGTTGCTGTGATATTTACAGTTTACTGAAGATAGCTAGTAAAGCTACCAAACTCCAGTTAGTATCCTAAACAGTAGTTCACACTAGGAACCAGCAAAAAATAGGGACTTAACACATCTTGTACATTCATGGCTGGCACCTACTTGTTCTAAAAGAGACTATTTTTCAGTCTGTACACAAAGACCATCTATAGTCAGAAGCCCCAAGGCTGTTCAAGTAAACTCTTTTTATATTAGATAATCATGCTGGTTTAAAGCCATCTAGTAGATCATTGTCTATTGTACATAAAAAAGTCTATTCTGTAAATATACAGAAATCTCACCTTGCTTTTAATTAATGAAAGACAAACATGTAAGCAATGCCATTTATTTTACAAATAATTTTGGACTAGTTTTTTCAAGAGCCTCAAGAAATCAGTGAGACTATTAAAAACTTTTAAGAACCACCCTTCATTTGTGTAAAGCCAATAACCTTTCATTGTGATCAATAACTAGTAGTTTTTTAGAGGAGGATACTAGGGCAGAATTCTCCTGTCTTTGATCTCTCAAGATTGTGTCACTCCTCTGATAACATATTTTTCTTAGTCAGGCAACTGGAATTACATGTGAAAGGTCGTACGCGAATAAAATAATTGAAATCATAAGAGAAAACACAGTATTAATCATGAACTCACATTTCACAGTTTTTATGCTTTCACTGTATTTTAATAGCTATATAAGCTGCATTTTTTAAGTTATCATTTCCCCCATAAAAATGAAATGAAAGAGGGATCTTCTTATTAACTTTCCACATGAAGCTGAACACAGTATTAGGATGCTCAAGGACAAAGACTCAGGAACTCTTTTTCCCAACTGATTTTGTGACCTAACATGATTAAAAAGCTATCTCACACTAAATCAGTATTTTAAAGTACCCAATCATTTGTCCATTAGGAATCTGGCCCACCAAGCCCGAAATTGTTTTGAACGTCGCTGGAGCTGGAGATGTTGCCACACCTGCAACTCCAGAAAGTGCTATGCAGAAATGCCACAAAAATGTTACTTACTCAGTTACTTACCCAAACTTCAATTGGCTGGACAACTCTCCTATATGTTAAGTGATCTTTTCCCCAGCTATTCTGGATGCTAAGTCTAAAATGCTCTTAACTCTTTTTTTCCTAAGGGAATGATACTAAAATTTTCAACTTGCTGCATTTTTTTCAAAATGAAAAATATCTTCAAAACTTACCTGGCTAAGAAAAATGTTGGGTTTTTTGCAGTTTTTCCTATCTTAGCACTCTGCAGTCTTCTGACCAGTCTGGCACCCACCCTTCCACACTTCTAGATGCATTTTACTAGGTGTCAATGGCAGTGGCTTGCGTAAGACCAAGATGTATAACAGATACTTCCTTAGTATTCAGAAGGCCTTTTCCCCAGTCATGAAATTAGATTTGACATGTATCATGCTGTCTTTGCAGTTTTCAAATATGCACTAATAGCTCAGACCACTAGTAACGAGCCCTCTATGGTATGGTTATACATTTAGTGTACAACCCCCTTCATGAGAATCTGCTAATATTTATGCACAAAGGACTGTGAATGAATGCGCAGAGAGGAGTGGCTTAATTTTTATTACGGCCTGCTGACAATAACAATGAACTGCTCTAACTGCAGTCTCACCTGTTCTAGTCTCATTCTGGAATGACTTCTAATGCAGTTTTTGCTGTTTAATTTGCAGAGGTCCTTACAGATAAAATTTTATAATGAATTCTGAAGTAAAAGGTGTTAAAACACTTGGGTAGTTTTTTTGTGATTTTAAGTCAATTTTGAATGAAGTATCAAAAGACAGAAAAGAAATCTTAAGTAACAATTTTTGTCAAGCGCTTAGAGAAGAGGAGGCTGTTAGAAGCTTAAACTCCTGAGCCCTACTCCTGGCTCTGACAGACATCCAAAAACTTCTTACACGTCACTTTACTTTTTACTCACCATTGTGAGTAAAGTAATGTCTTTACTCAGATCAAAAGTACTTCAGGAATAGAAAGAACTACTTCAAAAGATTTAGTATCTGTATAGTATTTATCCTGAATATTCTGCTTTTTTTAGACTAACCTTCTCTGTAAAGAACAACAGTTGCTTCCAGAGATGTTGCAGAAACATGCTTGGGTTAGTAATAGGTTAAATGCAAATATTAGTTGCTATACTACTGTATTATTCTTAATTAAATACACATGGGGAAGACAGAAAAGTCTGTAAGGCTTTAAGATGACATTTTACGTTGGCTACAGAGTTCAGCAACTGCTGTAACCTGTAGTCAGTGTAGCATTTTGTTAATAGTCTACAAGTGATAGATATGGGGTGTTTTGGACCAAACCAAATCCTATTATCTCTCCACCACAAACTATACTGGAATTTCTTTTTAACTCAGCATTTCCATGTCAATTGTAATGAACAATTTGGAGTATCTTCTTTGCAAATATGCAAATTACTATGTAATCACAACACTGCAGCAAACAAGATAAATGCAAGAATGATCACCTAAACATCCAATTAGTTCTTCTACACAGTCAGACTTATGCTAAAGCTTCTAATTGCAGCCTAACATTTTAATGAAGGTTTCAGCATTGCATAAATAAGATTGGCAAACTATAAACAATGCTCATTCATTTTATTTTTTCCCTTGCTTAAAAACAATTTACCGTTGTAAAGTTACTGCACACCTACTACAGAAGACATGATGATTTGAGCTCTATTACAAATCTAAAAGATAATATTATAAATAGTAGCAACTAACCTCTAAGGTAATAGGATCTTACAGGGGATCTTACAGTAGGCATCTGCTACCAACCTCCAAACCAAGATGAAAAGGCCAACGAAGCATTATTTGGGTCACTTAAGCAAGCTTTGGGTCAGCAGAACCTGGTTCTTATGGGTGACTTCAACTACCCAGACATTTGCTGGAAGAACAATACAGCAGCTCACATGTCATCCATCAAGTTCCTGGAACGCGTAGAGGACTGCTTCCTCATTCAAATGTTAGATGTGCCAACCAGGAACGAGGCATAGCTTTCTCAGTTCTCTGCTTCTGAATTTACAATAAGGCATTTAGACATGCCAGTCTACTTCCCCAAGTCTCTATCTTTTCATATCACTTACATTTACATAAAATAACAAGTGTTGATTCATTTTTCTGAAATTCTAGCATTAGATAGAGGCCCTGGTGTTCTAGATGAAAAACAAGACAGACAGTGATTCCTGCCTCAGAATCCTCAAAATTCAGGTAAATAGGAAGTAATTTAGAAGTTCTCCAGAAGACTCTACTTGACTTAGCATCTTGCATCTGTTTCAGTCAAATTATGAAACCCATAATAGCAATTATGGATTACTGACATAGTCATCTTATATAACTGCCTCTAAACACCCCAACGATTAAACAAAATGGAAATAACTCATGATGTAACGGAGAATTTCTTTGGTCAATTTTGAGCAGATTTGAGTAGTCTGCCCACTTTACAATTGACGGCTATGCCTTTTAATAGAAAGTAACACTACCTTTTCATAGAGACAAGGGCTATTTTTGACACAATAATGTACTTTCCAGACACATGCAAAGCAAGTTGATTGATAGTGTATGATAAAAAATATCCACACCTTTTGGCAGATAGGTGTGAAACGGAAAAAAAAACATAAGCTGAGGGGTCTTTCTGTGAGTAAGGAAAAAAAAAAAGAAAATTTACCACTGAAGTTTAAAAACAAAACAAAACCCCCCAATATTACAGAGATACCATAATTAATAGCCTAAATTCTTATCTGGGACAAGTAAAATTTCTTGTACTTTTGATGTTCGGAGTCTTTAGTGTTAAACTTAATAGGGATTTAAAGGATAAATTATTTTTAGTTCTTTCCGTTTAATCATGAGAGCATGGAATTTTTCTTTTTTTATTCATTCACTGCTGTGGTACTCTGCTTAATCCTGCAAATCTTTATCAATGCTCAAAAGCAATTCTGTTGCAGGCTGTTTGATTTCCATAATCCCCCACAACACAGACATTTATATTTTATGTGAACCGATTCTGGGTTCTTTGAAATTTACAACAGATAGTTCCCCATGCCACTCACAACTGAGATGAAAAAATAACATAAAATGAGCACCATACCACTTGTTATCTCCCATGTGCTTTTGGCTGTATTTTTTAGAGATGATGTTCTATGGCTGCTCTTTTCTGCTGATGGCTGTTGTGGTAAGGCGAGCTGAAAATCTGCTCTTCTGCTCTCAGAGGTTTTCTGAGTCTGAATTGCAGGGTCTGAAATACAACCCAGAAGCTTATGAAATGCCTGTGAACACCCATATCGTGTGCTTTTCTTACTTGAGGCATGGAAAACCAGCATTGTCCTGGGATACAAACATCTTCCAAACAGCATGGGAATCTTGTATGGCAGCAGATACAAGACTGTCACAAGAAAGTAAAACTTTAATACTAGGCATGGAAGAAGAGCAAACCATAGAAATTATAAAAAACAGGATTGCAAAAGTCTGCAAAATAATCAAGAACAACTGCAGTAGCCCAGTTATATACACAGCATGAGGGACAGCGGAACATGTGTATAACCTGTGGCTACTGCGAGCAGGCGGTGATCCCTGTCTCAAACATAATACCAATACCTGCAGAGAGAATGAGCATTTATTCAAGCTCATACAGGAGAATAAGCCATGATTTAATATAAATGTCTTCAGTAATTAACAAGGTAGATAAAGGATTAGAAAAACAGAGAATCAGGTTTTACATTCTGAAGTCAAAATCATGCAAAAATTTTGGTAGTTTGTGAACTCTGCACATTCTTTGCTTTATGCTCTTACCATTTTGACATAGATCTTCAGCTGTTTGGTGAGTATTTCTTTTGCATCCTTGATCCAAAGAATCATTGCACGGTGAGAATGATAGCTCCAGTCTCTCAGTGTCTTGTATGGATTCAGTTCCCTTTCCTGAACTTTGAAGTCGCCATGATCTATTACTTTTGCTACTGCAGGTCTTTGTTACCTTGAAAGACATTATTTTCTTAATGAAAGATAAAAATGTAACAGCTTTCAAAATACTCAAAGGTAAACACACATTTTGAATTAAGCTTATTTTTCAAATAGAAGTTCCCAAAGTGTTTTGGTTTTTTGGTTTTTTTTTAAAAAGAAAATATTATCTTTTCGGGAAACTTCATGGTAGGTACAGTTCTGTGTGGTATCTTCAATCTTTACAGTCTACTAACAGGCAGGGTTCAAGACAAAGAAAAGAAAAAAAAAAGTTAAAATTCACTATCCGGATAAAAAGACAGCGAATCTTGTGGCTATCCTAGACCACAAGAGGAGTTCTTTCTTCTTTGGAGAAAGGAATCTCATTTTACGTCTTAGCTTTCAATTGACTTCCTACAGAATAGTCTACTTCCTTTATTCATGGTGTTAAGCTGGGAATTGCAGTCCCAACCAGATTCCTAAAACCTTGTTTGCCGGCAGAGTGAGACCAGATGCTATCGCTGGCACTGTTATTGAGAGCATCACATGAACTACTGTATGGCTCACTGTCATCCACTGAAAGCATACTGAAATGCAGAATTTCTGCTCTGCATCATAGCTCTCATCATAAGGAAAAAGATTTACACACACACATATTTTAGCAGTCTAGACCAAAAAAATTCAGAAAAGTAAAAGTG